TCGTCGTTTTCCTCTCCCTTTTTCTTCGATTTATTTTTATTCTTTCCTTTCTTGTCCTTGTTCGATCCTGCACCATCATCTTTCTTTTTCTTCCGTTCAAGCTCTTTCTCAAGTGCTTCCTTCTTTTCGGCAACGATTCTGTCGGGTATAATCAGAGCTCTCCATTCTATACTTCGATCTGGGTCTTAGTGATGATCGAAAGAAACTCCTCCCATCACTCCCAACCTTGTAAGGGTGTCCTTTGACATCCAACTTCACTGTCTCTCCAATATCGTTGAGATAGATGATACCATCTCCTGTACCCTTTGACATGTGGTCCATTGATGGATCACCGACAGGCACGTGTTCATCTCTCGATACGACTAGGGGTTCAGCTTTCTTCGACTTGGTAATTAGAATCTTCTTCGAATCATCATCCGGTTTGTGATCTTGATCATCGTCTTCATCTTCTCCAAAATCTAGAGGTTGATCGTCATCAAGATCATCATCGATGGCCCTCTCCGCGATCTCTCCGTGATGGAGAACACCTGCTTCAGAGGGTTGATATTCGCCTTCCTCGTATTCGATTTCTTTCCTTGGATCATCGATCTTAGGTTCACCGTCTCTCAACTCACGGATCTTCATTCCTTGAAAGGTCTTGTTGATCCTCTCGTATTCGGTATTGTTGGAATACCAACGTCTAAGTGAATTCTGGCTTGTTTAATCTTCTAATGGGTCTTTTCGCATCAAATGCCAGACTTTGGGTCGTAAACGTCTTCTGAAATATTCTTCCTTGATTATTGGGCATGAAAAAGACCTTAGCACCGAACGGTATCTTCTCACCATGAAATTCCTTGCCATGAAACTTGAACCATGGGCTTTTCTCATCTTCACCACCTTCGATGTTCAATAAATGACTGACACACTCCACAGCGTGATTCCAGAAGCATGGTGGTAAACCTGCCTCCAACAAGCATGGGGTGGTGGTTGTCATGATGAATTGATTGTTTCCTTCCGCCAATGAATTGTTCTGTGGATGATGCGGTAGCGAGGGATCAAAGGATATCTTCAATTTCTTCATTGTCACCTCAAATTCGGGAGCCTTATCTGCATAGGCGATCTTGATCTTTCTGAGCCCTTTGAAATGATTCACTTCTGTGATCGCATCAGACATGAACTTTTCTACCGAAGGGTATGCCCAAATGATTCCTGTGTACCAGTCTCGGATCACAAAGATCTCTCGGTCGGTAAGGATTCCCTAATCCATAATTCTTTGCGTATCAATGAAATCGAAAATGACTAGGTCTCCAAATGCCTTGAGTTTCGTTTTGAATGCTCCTCTGTGTGTCTTGTAGTGCCTCATCTTGGCTCTAATATATGATTCTTAATATGGAGTCTTGTATCGATGAATGAGGAGATATTGGATTACTTTTGCTTCCGCTTTTAACATTCCCCTCCTCACCATTCTGCTTGCGCCATCAATAACATCGACTTCGAGATCATCAACATCATCTTCGTCTACTGCTTCTTCCATCACTTCAGGATCTTCGTGTTCCTTTCCTCGTCCTTCTTCTTCTCCCGGAATTGATAGATCCTTCTTATTTCTCTTTCTTCGTTTCCTCTTTTGTGGAACACAGGGCAGGTCATCCATGTCACAATTGAGTCCTTGAGGGTCAATATCATAATCCACAATCTCTGGTTGCTAGCCTACATCAATATAACCTGTAATCATTTTGGAGATATTCTCAATCTGTTCATCAACCATTGTAGAACAGAAATCGCTATCTTTCACGATGTAGGGGATGTTGCCTTCAGCTTCAAGCATAATCTTCTTGTTGTCTGGAGAAATTATGTATGATACTCCACTCGCTGGCCACACAAAGGAATATCCTTCCTCCATGCATTTCTTGTCCACTAACAATACTGAAGGTGATTCGTCCAACACATAGGGACTGTGTTAGGAGTCGAATTCGTCAAAATGAATCTTGGCAACGTCAGTTGTGCTCGTAACGCCATTTGCTGTGAAGAATGACATGGGATAGACACTCTTCTCAATCTCTAGGTCCAATTTCTTCGCTTTATTTCTTGATATCAAATCGTATCCACAGCCTGTATCCATGATGAATTTTGCTCTTGACCCTTTTGCAGGTACTGACAATGTCTGTACTTCACCTTTGATTCCATGTTTGCCACAAACGTGAGGTATTAGCTTGTGGTGGAACACCAAGCCTTCCTCTTCGTCAAACCTCATCGTGATCGAAATGTCTTTATTTGGGTCCATTGGAATTTATACCTCCTTGATATTGAGGTAGGGCGTCATAACGATGGCTCTCGCTTCGTCCACTTTTGCATCAAAGCGAATTTGTTCACGATGGGAATGATCAATGATCTCCCTTATTTCATACCTTCTGATGTCTGGCCTTAGTGGTTTCTTGAACATTTGCTTCCAGATGTCCTTGACGGAATATACAATCTCGAAAAAAAAAAGAAATTTTTCAAAAATCATCGTCAAATGACACTCTCTTCCCTTTGTTAATATTCATCTTCACACTTGCTGCATTTCCTTCATCGTCCGATTCTTCCAAATGGAATGAATTTTCTACTGCCGGTGCACCTGGTCTTCCCTTGGGTTTCGGTTTTGGAATAGGTTTCGGTTTGGGCTTATCTTCACCTGAGTCTGCCGCAGCAAATGTGCCTTTCTTGGGCGCTGCCTTGGAATCATAATGGAATTTATATTCCTTACCTTTAGGGCAATTCCCTCGAATCCAATTCTAACACGGAATCTTTCCTTCTCCTTTCGGAGATGCACCCCTTGATGGAATCCTCGTCCTTTTATGATTGAATGGACATCCTTTCCCATGGTTGCATTTCCCATGGTTGAATCTTCTTCTTGTTTACACTAGTACTCCTTCCTCTGTCTTTTCCATCCCCTTTTCCTTTACCCTTCTTGTCTTCTGGATGCTTCTTTGGATTGGGGATTGGTTTGACAGGAGTCGCTTCCTCAGTCTCTCCCACTGCTCCCGATGGTTTGGGTTTCGACTTCTTCGATTCATTTGGAGCAGGTGTGGCCTTAGCCTTGGATGCTAGGCCACCTGGCTTGAGATTCTGAAATATGTTGGCCACATTCTTGACAGCCTTCTCCTTCTCCATAAGCATTTTGTCCTTGGTCTGTCTTTCAATGTGCCTTCGAATCATGTCACGAACGGTCTGATATGATTTCTTAAGATCTCCTTCGTGGAGGCTGTTGTACATGTGAAGGTCGTAGGACATCAAATTTGAGTTCTTCACTTTCCTGCACAGTAGATCACGAAGAGTATCATCATTGGGGATGTCTGCAGGCTTCATTCCGGCCAAGATCTCATCCCAGGTGTGCAAGAAAAACGATAGGTTTCTATCGCCTTGGTATATTCAAATTGATATAAATGCATCGATGTGTATAATGCCTCAATGTTGGATATTATCTTGAAATTGAGAAATATTAACGCTAGGAATTCTCTTCCTTTGATAAGGGTAGAGGTCCTCTCCTTTGCGTTGATCCTCGTTCTCAATTTCATAATTACATTATTCCCTTCCTCTTTGGAATCCTGAATAATTTTGGTCAATGCAAACCCCATTTTTGCATCAATGGAATAGACCCTTAGATCACCTGAAGAAATCAATTTGTCAGGATCAGGATCGTCAATGGTTTCTTTAACCCAATCAATCCACGGTTGTTAGTCTGAATCATTAGCAACAATGATTATTGCCCCAGATCATTGATTTTCGGCCATGGTGGCACATTCACCTTGGATTCCTCTTTTCTGGAGACCTTTGTTGCATATATCGGAGAGGATGAGGATGCGAATGCAATTTATAATAATCTATTCCTGAGCTCAACATTTTCTTCTTCAACTACTTCCTTTTCTTCAATTCCCTCTTCATAATATTTGTAGGCATCCAAATACCATTCATATGTCTCGTCACGTGCCTTTCTCAGTCTTTCTGCTTTATATTCCTTATATATCAGATTCCATTTTAGCCGTGACATCTCTTCTTCATGGGATCGAGAGGCATGTAGCCCTCGCCCTTCCCATTTTTATCTTTAGGGAATCTGTGGTGCATTTCTGCCTTTAATCTGGCATTTTCTGACCTTGCTTCTGATAATTTTCCTTCGGTGACCTCTATATAAAATTACCAACCTGCACGTATCTGCACGTGAGAGAAGGAAACTTGGGGCATCATGCGGCATGAGGAAACTTGCTAAGCAATGTCAAAGGTCACACGGAGGTGTGATAGGCATCAAATGGCATCAAGCATGGATCCAAGGAGTGTCTGGAGAGATTGATCGCATGTGAATCTGTGTAATGGCAGTCTGTACAAAACGGTGAAAACGGAGAAGGCCGGCATAGGTTGCAACGTCTCCAGCAATGGAAAACCCCAATTGCGTTGGCACTGGAAATGAAGCCACCGTGACGAGCGGCAAAAAGAAATAGAACCCGCTGGCAACACAAAGCCCCCGGGCCACCGACGGCTGGCCACGTACGGGCAGAAGCATCGGCATCCGGAGGGGAAAAACAGCAAGGAGCCGCAAATTGAAAAAGAAAGGTATAGGGACTACAGCGGGCCCACGCGCAGGTCATTGGTCATTGCCCCGTGGGTGAAGGATACCGTCAAGCACCCAACGACTCACCGCACGGAGAATCGGAGAGCAGGCTGCCAGATTCAAGTGGCTTCGAAACGGCGCCGCAGCGCAGCGCGGGCCCGAAAGGACCGAATGGTAGCACCGAGTTCTTGCAACAGTTGGTTGTAGCAAGCTGCTGGCTCTTCGCCAATCTTGGCAGCAACCGCATGAGCCACAAATTTCAAAACTTTCAAGGTGCTTGGATCCCATGCTCCGGTGCACTCAGCTACCATCGGGACAAATTTGACACCTTGCTGCTCGCATGCTTGAGCAGTGCGCAGGTGCAGCTCCTTATGTCTTGCGTGGGTTTCAGCTGCCGCAGCCGTGCACACACTCTCGCCTGTGCGAGGGTCTCCTGCCGCTAGGGCGCCGTGACGGCGAAATCGAAGGCAATAGGAGACCCTGCAAAGGTGGGCAAATACACATCAGCTGGGCGGCGAGCCTGGCTGTTGCTCGTGTCTTCGGGGCCAGTGGGGAGAAGTAGTCCAGGTTTTTCCCGTTCCGGGCGCAGTCCAGCACGTTGACACCAGGCATGCACCAGATCCCGGACCGCGTGGTGCCGCTGTGTGCGTCCCGGCGTGGTGGCTGTGGTGGTCCAAGACTGCGTCGCGCAAGGGGCACCAAGTGTCGGAGGTGGCGTCAGGGACCTGCAATCGGACACGAAGTTCAGACAGAAAAGCAACCGGTTCCATTTGCATTCGCCCGCTGGGCAGGGCATTGAGAAAAGCCCTGCCACCAATAGAAGCTTCAGAAAGCAGCGTCGTCCGTCCGGCAATGGCACTCTGGGCCAGCTGCGTATCCCACGCCGCCGAGTCCAGCATCGTCGATAAAGCTTTTTGTTTGTGGGCTAAGGCAGCATCTAAAGCGATGGCTTGACTTGGTGGGAGGTGGGTATTGAAGGCGGCAAGGGCAGCGCAAACATCTGGGCAAGCTTTTGCTTCGTCGATGGAGAATCCGCCATCTAGTTCGGCGGCAGATGTCAGAGTCGACGCCCGCGATGCCAAGAAAGTCGCAGCGGCGTGCCTGGAGGTGGAGCGAAGCCCAAGGCCCCCTTGAGCCAACCCCAGCGATGCCTGTATCCATTGCTCAGCCGTAAGGTGCAAACCTGTAAAGTCCCCAAAGCTCCGGCGAAGCATGCCATCAAACATGTCTAAGGCCATGGTCTGCGCGCCGACGGGATTGCAACGCATGCTGTGAAGCATGCGAGCAATCCTGCACAAGCTCGGAGGAGCCGCAAAGCGACCTGTGGATCCTCCATCTCCCCCAAAGAGTCAAAAAGGTCTCCAGCTCTGGCGGCCCTCTCAGCGGTATAGGCACGGACAAAGGCATCATTCCCAATGGCGGCTCCTAACAGCTCGAAATTGCGCTGCACTTTGCTGGCCCCTCCTGTGTCGCGGAGCAGGCTGTCAGGAAAGTGGCAATGCAAAGCAGCGATGTCAACGGCCCCAACTGCAACTAGCTCACTCTTCGCCAAATTCAAAATCAAACCAATGTTGGCCGCGCGGGCTTCAACCAGGCGGAGCGCTTGGCTTACCGCAGCCACGTCCCCCGCCAGGATTCCATCGTCCAAATAGTGCACTGCAAGGTCCAAGCCAGTGTTGCGAAGATCTTGGGCGAGGGGTTGGATGGCTGCTGGGAAAAACAGAGGCCCCAAAGGATCACCTTGTTGAACCCCAGCTTTGGACTCGACCACCCAATCGGCAAATTGCAGCCGGGTGGGGCGTTGGTAGCACCACGTTGCCCACCGGCTCAAGGAAGGGAAATGTTCCGATACGGCTGACAACACAGCAGCGCGACTGACCGTATTGAACGCATTGCTGAAATCCAATTTGAGGGCCACTTTGTGAGGAGAGTTCCAGTGCCGCCGGCGCCAGGCCCGCACTGTGTGGATGGCTTTCTCGGCACCTCCCGGAACAGCAACTCCGACCTGCGCTGGCCAAAAATAGGATTGCGCATCCTCGCGCACCAGGCTCATCAAATATTTCCCGGCAAGACGCCGTAGGATTTCCCCAACTGCTATCGGCCGGACTCCGCCATTGGGTTTGGGGAGCGCCACCAAGCCTGCCCCAGCCAAGACAGACGCAACAAAGGCGGGTGCACGACCTTGACTCAGCAAGCTGACAACTGCCGTCAACTGCGTCATAAGCGCCTCGCTGCCCCCAGCCACGCATGCTTCTTTGAGATACACGATGCGAAGGCCCCATGGACCAGGGGCCGTCTCCTTAGGGAAGGCACGGAGGCAACGAGACACCAGCTCAAGCCCAATTTCGGGCCCTTTTAACTTTTGATTTTTCTCGAACTCTTTAATCTCTTCGAACATCACCTTTTCCTTTCCATCAATTGGTGATGCCCCAATCAGATTCTCCCTTTTCAATACCTTGTTCGCTTCGCTGAGGGCAGAATTCGCTTCTCTCAGCTGACGTTGTTCCTCTTTAGCTCGTATATGTATGTTGCTAGCGGCATCCTCCAACGTCTTCGTAGTTTCCGCCATCATTCTTGCTTTGTATTGCAAATATTATATATATTCGCCTTTTTTTCTCGTTGAATTCCAATTTATATGCTTAAATCTCTATCTTCTATTCCAAATCAAGATTGCCTATTTCTACTATCATACTCGTCTCAAACCCTTTAACGAATGCCAATTAACCTCGTAAATATTCAATCATTCTCTTTTCATAATATTGTTAATCAGTGTTTAGTCAATATTATGTAGCGTATCTCGGTTCTTCATTGCTTCTTTCTTTCAATTTAAATTATCTCCAATATATTGCTATTCTCATCCTAGAACATCAATATCCTCGCCTGTAACTAACTTATCGGCAACGGTCATCATTACCTTATTCTCTTCGGAAAGGTGTTAAATTCGTTTATCGTAAATCTAAAATTTGATTCTACTCTTAGATGCATTCGAATACACCCTACATTTCACTGGTTATATTTTCCATTTTAATCATCAAAATGAGAATGCTCTTTATACTTTTCATATGCTTTTTATTCATCCTTCGTATAAATGTAATCGACCATTAATTCAACGAATTTAAATTTCCTTTCAAATTCTTCAATCCTTATAGTCGTTCCTTCATCCTCTTACATCATTTCTTATAAATAAGCATTTATTGCAATATTTCATTTCGTCATTTACGAAAATTATTCCCTCGATTCAATCAAATAATTATTATATCCAATGGAACGGCCGCTCCATTACTTAAATTTATAATATTAACGGCATAATAATCCCAAGAATAATTTCAATAAATTTCGTATAATTAATTAAATCAAATAATAATTATATCATTCCTAAAGCCGCAAAAAAAAATTATTAACTATTCTTTCCTCCAAAATTCGATATAATACTATAAATCTCTATTACAAAATTAATCTCTCAAAATTCGTAACCTTACGACTACGATTAATAACCTACGTATAAATATTAATCAACTTAATACAAAATCAAATTAACTACCCATTATCTCCACATATACTACAAAGCCTTCCCTTTTCGTCTACACAACGAGAATCTTAAAACCAAATTAATATTACAAATATAAACTATATTATACATATATACACTATAATATCGTTCCATTGCTATTAATATTATATAACAATAACAATCAAAATAATTTATCATCAAATTAAAATTTAATATATATTAAATTCCAAATAAATTAGAATTTACAATGACATAATATTAACATAAAATAGAATCACTACATAATTAAAATAGAATAAATTTTAAATTTAAATATAAAATTAAATTTGAATTACATAAATATTTAAATAGAATTTGGTTATTTTGGATTCTAATTATTTGTCTTCTGATTCTGATGTATTTACCCAATTGCATTCAATAAGAGCAATACAATTCCCACTTTAAAAGCAAGACATATTGTTTTACATGGGGGCTGCGTGGAATTAGATTATTACATCCCAACACTTTTTAGTAAACAACTAACCTTATGGATTTAAACATTTTTGTAGTTCATAGTTGAATGAACAAATATGCTTACCAACTGCACATAGAGCAAGAAAATCACAAGTTTCACAATCCTATCAATATGATATCATTCCCCCAAAAGAGCAACACCCTACAAAAGAACAACTTTCACAACCCTATCAATGTCATATCATCTGCAAAAAGAGAACCACCTTACAAAATCACAACTTTCACAACCCCACCCCCGCGCTCTCTCTCTCTATATATCTCTATATATATATGATTATATATGTAGACCCTCAAGTTCGGGGCCCGTGCGCACAAGATCTTATGCTTTTTGATCAGCGATGGATTGTCGACATGTATGCTGCCTCGATCCGTTCGGATGCCATGGACAGTAACGTTTCTGGGGTGAGTGACAAGTGCCTGGAATGCACCACTTGTCTTGCGGCAATTCAAGCATTGCGAACACCACATTCAAAAAGGGTCCCTCCAATCCCTACAAAGGACTTCACATTTCCAGGTACAGTCACTCTAGTATTGGCTCGGCATTCACGCTGGGCACCCGCACTCCATACATTGCATGGCCAGCCGTACAAACTCTCCACCTTGACAACAACGGAGTACAGAATAGCTTGACTTTGGGTGCACATGGGAAACCTGCAGTCCCTCACCGTGATCTAGTCCGAAACACAACAAATCAAGTGAGATCCCATTTCCAAAGGTCTCTACTCCTCCAGCATCCTTCGAGATGGTTGAACGGACCTATTTGGTTCTCATGTCTGATGGCGAGTTCAACACCCCCAAGCGCACGGCTTTGCTTCCCCCAGAAGTAAGATCCAAGCAGTGGCTGCAACGCCCCATCAAGTCTTCGTCCGGAGGCTCTGGAGTCGCCAGCAAGGCAGGCCCTGCCATTCTGTCGGTGGGTCGGCGACATAAAACCCTTCTAGCATCTTGCGAAAATCCTAAATCCATCTAAATCATGTTTCGATCAGAAGCTTTCAGCATGAGATCTTGCTTTCTCCATCTGGAGAAGGCGTAGAGCTGTGAAACAGGGCGTGAACGTGAGAACCCGAAGTGGAGGCAACATCATTAGGCCTACGGTGCTTTTCCAGAACGGTGCTGTCCCGCTGAAAAGTGAGTGAAACTGGTTGCCCAACAACAAGAGCCAGTCAATGGAAAGCAAATCTGTTCGGTCTTCGGGAAAGTAATCCTCCAAGACATAACGTGTTCCATGTCCTCTGCCGTATCTACCAAAATCTTCCGCCTCTGCATGCCTGTTCCCCACTCTCCCCTCACTGTGGCCTCCCATCGCACGGGTGGGACTGGCAGGGCATTCCTTTGAATGCTGCTCGATGGCGGCCATCTGAGCGCGAGCCATGCTCGGGAGGACGCATGCGGCCCAACGGGTTCTGGCACGGAACGGCCCCGCGGGGCACCAAAATTATACACAATTATGTTTCTTCCGCTCCGTACCATGTCAGAATCATCCATTTCCGATCTATTTCAAGGCGATCAATTGGAAGATTGTCTTGGACGTACTACACTTCTCGAAAACTCCAAAGGTTTTGCACTTTAGAGCCATCGTGTTCTTGTGTTGTAACTCAACATCAGCTTGTCCAATCAACCAAAATGCAACAGTCGAACTTCAGCGCCATTCAAAATGCAACTGGGCTTTTGTTCTTGGTGTGCCTGCGTTGCTGCTATATACCCGCTTCCTTAAAAAGGAAGGAAGCCGTGTCGCGGTGCCTTCCTGAGGCGCTTTCATCTGTCTCATTTCCTTGAACAAGGCATTCTAAGTTTACGGAAATTGTCCCTGTAAAGTATCTGGGTCATTTGCTTTACCAGCTGTGTTGTTCAGTTTGGTGGGGTCCTTGGATTTCCCTATGTCATTGGATCCACTCCATTAGGGCCAATGAAGGCTCCCTTGCGTTGTTGAGCTCTCCTCAAGGCTTTGCTATCCTTTTGGCCTTGTGAGTGCCAAGTCATTTAGTGTTCCAATACAATCGTGCATCTAATGCAGTCGTGTTTCCAGGAAAGAGTAAAGCACATATATATATATATAGTTATAAGTTATATATATATAATAGGCACACTAGGAGGCTGGCTGGAGCCTTTGTTTTGCAATGAAACCATTCTTGAAGAACTCGCATGTTGCATGATTCTTTTGTGTCAGGTGCAAAAGGCTGTCGATACTCAGGCAAAAGGTACGGGATCATTTTCTTGGTGTCAACAGCTTGGTGTGCCCAAACCAACGTCGAAACAACCTGCGGTTCACAACAAATAGGCCATCTGTTGACGAAGGCAAACCATGGTGCCCAATGTAGGGCGGTCAAGGGTAACTTCGGTGCATCCCTACCCCTGTAAGGTACCCTTGCTGTAACTTGCTTCAAAAACTCTTTATCGGACAGTGGACTGGAACAAACTGACCAAAAACATCGGATAATGCCGATGACACCATTCTTTGCGTTCTGTCATCGTCTTAAGGACATTTCAAAGAACCTTGGGTTCACAAACCGCCATGTTCCTCCCTCCTTCCCTCCCTCTTTCCCTCTATGTCTGGCTGTTCAGTGTGGTCCCTCCATGTGAGTCAACCATCGGTCGCAACAAACCAATCGTCTCGTCCATCTCTTCCATGCGACCGCATCTCCCTGACTCAGGGAGTTTGCTGGATCCCTCCAGGAGTCGACTGACGGACCCGGCATCCAAAGGAAGTCTTGTGCCACAGGAGCCGCACCTGCGCCACTTGAGAACCACGGCGTTTTCCATGACCCAATTTTTCACTGTTGTTCTTACGAAGATCATATGAAACTCAGTCGTACGATGCCCTATAGTGAGAAAATGAGAGAGTTGTGCTATATTGCTGAGTTTCAATGACATCTATTTTCGAGATCGTTTCTATGCACCCAAAACACATCTCACTCGGACTTCGCTTACAACAAAGGTTTCTTCTTTGCAAGGCAATGTGCTCCCACTGGATCTTCATGGGTTATGTTTGATATATGATAGTGTCTGGCTTCAGCCTCTGCTTGATCCTCGGAAGCTATGCCATTCGGGGACATCCCAAAGCCCGCCGGGCTGTGATTCCACGCCTTGCTACACCCATGGCGTCCAATAGTCTCTCCCAGTCATCTGCCTCCGATCCGGTTTGAAGAAGTGCTCCATTCCCTTGATATCCGAACCTACGAACCTGCTAATCCACTTGGTGCACTCAGTTGGTTCATGGTTCATACACCTACCTTGAGTGATAGAGACTCTGAGAGTGTCTCCTCACAGAGTCAATGTGATACTCGAGCTCTTCCTTGCTACGCAGTTTTGCTTTGGAGTGCTTTCTCAAAGAAACAGGCTGGCCGCGATAGAAAGCCCTGGCCACACTGTCCGCCCTTTTTAGGTTTTATCCGTGTCTGTGTCCCCTGCTTGGCCACGCTGTGGGCCTTGTCTTCTCCGCCTTTTGTGGGCCTTGTCCAGCCCTTGTCTCCTGCCTTCTTCGCCTTGTCCGGGCCTTGTCCAAGTCTGTGTGTCCTGCCTATCCGCGTTGTCAGGAGTCCTTATAACCACCGCCTTGTCTGGGCCTCATCCAGGCTTTATCCAAGTATGTCTGTCCTGCTTGGCCGCACCGTGGCCTTGTCCAGGCCTTGTCCGGAACGTGTGTCGTGCTTGTCCGTGTTGTCGGCCCTCTTATCACCACCTTGTCCGGGCCTTGTGTCCTGCTTGGTCACACCATTTTGCCTTTCTCCGCCGCCGCCTTATCCGGTTGGGTTTCTTTGTGGGTATGAATGCAACCGTGATGCAGTGTCTAAATTTGACATCATTCCATTCCCACAACATCGTTTCTTGTATACATGCTGTTCTCAAGTAGCTGCAGGCTATAGGAAAATAATTCGAGACGTTTCCACCAACGTTGGAATTCAAGGAAGTGATGCAAAAGAATCCTGCTGAAACTGTTTGGGGACTATGCTGGTACATTGTTTTTTCTCCCACAAGAGACCTTCCGATTCTTTGCCTAGGGAAGACACGTCAGCTCTGTATTTCGTGTCTTCTACCAAAGCTCAGAGAGCTCATCTCCTTCTCGCCTGGGAGTGTTCGTCCTGATCGCCGTCCTGGCAGGCGCTACTGTTGTGGGCGTGGTGAGTGCAGCACACGCCTTGACGACGTCCACCGAATCCATTGGGGAAGCCTAAGGTTGGGAGAAACACGAAACAAGTCCCCCCTTGTTGTAACCAAGGACTCGTGTAATCTTACTGGTGATTGAGCCATCACGCTAAGAATTTGGGTACATACTTCCGAACTTCAATACTGGCCCCCTCGAGCTACATCTCCTCCGAAGCTTCCTCGCCACTCCTCACCGCCACATTATAATTGAGGCCGGGGGTTGGTGACAAAAGCTAGCATGGCTTGAAACAAAACAGCCAAACCATGTGCATGTGCTGCTCTCCATTCCAGGCAAAGCTGGTATCCATGAAGATGAAAGGGGAGTTGAACACGCGGGGGTGGGGCCTACGCATGAATTATTCACAGGGTAGGGCATTCCATCCCACAGCAAAAAACTTGCTAACGAAAGAGTAACTCCAGCTAGCTAGCTTTCATGATAAGCCTGAAGCCTCTCCAGTACTGTCAGATCTACATCTGCGCAAGTGGGGTGGGGGCTTCACCCTCGATTATCGGTATGGCCGGGCGCCACTCACTGAGCCTACTCCTGTCCTCAGCAGGGTCTTCCAGCTCGAAAAAGCGAGTGCCTTCAGCACTGGCCTTACCTGTGCAGTGATGGTTTTTGAGCACCTTCTCGACGCAAGAAGCCCCAGTGATGGCTGTCAGGGTCAGGATTCTTCTGCCAGTGCTCTCTCTCCCCTTCAATGTGTTCAATGGAGGGAATGGTAATAGTATCTTTATGTGTTTTGCTATTTGATCACTCTTTTCACAAAGTTTTTTTGCGACCTTGCAATAGATGGCATCTAGCTTCCACGGAGTGAGGTGTCTCGCACTACGTAGAATGCCGGTCCCTGTGAAGCAGAAAGTTCTTAAAGACACCTGTTTCTATGATGTTCATTGATGTTTGACAGAGAGTAGCAGCAGCCAAGTCAAAATTGTATACAAATAAAACAAATAAGGTCTCGGGATGCTTGTGCTTGATTGGGGATGGATACAGCCTGGAACAGCTCACGCCCAAAGGCTTGGGGGGGCCTCCAGGTGCCAATGAGGAGAACCTGGCCTTCGAGAAAGTCGTCCACAGACGGCAAGTCTTCACGCGCCGAGGAGCGTTTGGCCTTTGGATCCGGTGCTGCGAGAGGCACTGGAAGCTTGGAAAGAAACTCCTATGATTTTCCATGATGCTTCTCGAGCTTCCCAGAAAGAAGCTCCAAGGCTGCGTCTTCATGCACCTTCATTTTTTCTACTTAACAACACAACATGCTTCCTTCAAACCCTAACTGTTCCAGTCGCAAACAAACAAACATCCCCTTGCCATTGAATCTGCTCGGTGTCAGATGTCCGCAGCAGCTGGTCCCATCAACCCCGGGCTCAGCCGACCAATTCACGTGTAAGCCAGTCCTCCTTCTGCTGCAACGCCTGCTATACACCGCACAAAAGTGGATGCGATTCACACAAGGGGGCTTCAAGCCAGTCATCTACCAGATTGGTCTGCATTGTGATGGTGTGTGGTGGTGCAAAGCGAGCAAAGATTGTATTGGCACTGACCTTCGAACACAGAAATGCTATGAAATGAACATGCCACCCAACTGGATATAGAGAGACCTAGCATAAGTGGTATTGGGTCATTGAGTATCCTGGTGCCTGCTCTCGGCCATCTTAGCCCTCCCATCACTGTTGACTGACCCTTTTGTTTGGAAGTTTGTTTGTCGGGCAAAAAAGCAAACATCTCACATTCACCACAGCCATGCAACTTGGTGAGGCTAACATCATATCCCGACATGTCCCAACCCCCCCAGGGGGCTCATCACAAAAAGTCCCCACCCAACTCCCTACTAAGTTAAGTTAAGTTTCCCTATTTCTAGATTCTAGAAACCAAATCATTCGTGCAAGCGCTTTTCAAGGAACACCCTGCCCTAAGGCGGGGGAACTTCCTTGTAGAAGTGTCAGCTATCCTGCGTCCTACCTAGAAGCTAACTTAGCCTAGTAGCTTACTCCCTTACCTAATTAAGAAGGGAGGCGGAACAAAGCAGGCCAAGAGAAACCATTTCAACCATCCTTTCATGACTTGGACTCGTTCTCGGGACTTGTTTTGGTCGCTCTCTCGCGGCCCCTCCGGCACCTCCAGGCTCGCTTCCACCAGACGCACCTCTGAGCGGAGCTGCCGGAGCCGCACCAGGAAGACCTGGACGAAGCGCCGTCGATCCGTCTGCTCTTTCGTTGCCGCTTCGGGCGAATCTTCTTGTAAGTCTATTCGCTTGAAAGAGAGGACAAAGTGGTGAGGGCACTCTCCAACAAACATATCTTTTTGTTCACTCAGCAGGTTTTGGTTGAGTGATTGTCCTCAAGGATATAAGCCCATACATGGGCGCACGACTTTCATCATCCCTCACGCGCCCCAGTGTAGGAGGTCACAAACTGGGAGCACGGGTCCGAACATGTTTGAGGTTTTGATTCGGAATCATTGGTCATGATTGGTCCCCTACATTCACTAGGAGCAACTAAACAGCATTGGTACACCAACTCACTTACGTATGGTGTGAAAAAAAGGCAATGACCTTGTTTGAGTCAGGCTGGCTTGCCTACTTTTCCTTCCAACAAACCAAAGCCCTCAAGACTCTTGGCTCCAAATACCTCTAAACCCTGGGGATTGCCCGGGGCAATCCAGTTGGCCCAACATAGTCTGGGAATTTGAGCATTCGGGGTTGCAGCATGTTTGGTTGATGTGTCTACAACAACCGGCATGTATCCCGCCTGCTTGTCCCCCACGGTGGAATATAGCTCCTGTTCTAAAGTGGATGCGTTGGCCGCCATACAACGCTGTCAGGCTGGTGGGTCCAACGCCGTCACTGACGTTGAAGAAGATGGACGTTGGTAGCTTGTTGTGCAACACGCGCAACATGCTAGAAAGAAGGCTTCAGGTTGTGAATGCTTTTGGCATCTTTTGACATGTCTGATGACATCTTTCATAGCTCCAACTCAATGAACAAGCAAATCAATATGTGAAAAGGCATGCTTTTCCTCATTTTGCGTGGGCTGGACTATGCTTTGCCACCTGAAGCCAAAGCAGCCACCTTTGCCACCTGAAGCCACCGGAATCTCTGCAACCTTTGGCAAATTAAGTGAGTACAACGAACACCATGGAACACCTAAGCACCTCGCCTATCGTCGCACATCCTTTTCTTCAAGTTTATAAACGTTTGAACCTCATATGATACACGGAGAACAAACTGTGGCTTCAACCCCACATGAAGTGAACCTTGAAGGCAAATTGCCATCTCCTTTGAGGGCCTCTGTGACGAGCTGACGCCTTTTCTTGTGATGCGATATGCTTTGCAACTGGGTCGAAAAGCTTCACGGCGCCAGTTTCAGGATTAAGAACTATCCATTGGCAAATCAACCAGCTGCAAATAGAACGGCGGATTTGGTTGTGGTACAAGCTTGAAACGGCTTCTTAGCTCCTTTTACCAGTAGAAGCACGACATCTTCCCGTGCACTGTACACATATTGTGTCAGGTGGACGATGCACATCTCTAATGACCGAATCTGAACAGATCCTGCTTCAGGATGCTTCAGCACTGCTTCACGGAATTTCTTCAGCCGCTGCTGCTTTTGTCCTCTGGCAACAAGCTCTTTGGATCGTTCACGGTGCCATCAACTATGCACATTTTCTAATTAATGACACTTCTTTTCATCTATTCTCAGAGTCACACATTTTTACTGCATTATCCCAATGAAGAGATGAGGAGTTGTGGTATGTTATGGTGACTGGGCGTCAAACCACACATTTTCCGTTTCTCCGGCTCCGTCCGACTGTCCTCACCTCGGCACCAAGGGCTCCGTCGTCCGCCGCTGCACCGCAGGGCCAGCTGAAGCGGTCGAAATGAAGGGAATCCCTCGCCCAATATGCTGGCCAGCTTTCATGGGGGTCAACCAGGCGCTACACGTACAGAATTGCTACGCTAAAGCACCTCTGACACTCTCTGTAAGCCGGGAAATCTTTGGGGCCAAGAAAACTGCTTCCGACAGGGATGAACTGCAGATTGAGAGATATCGGTTCCATGAGTTTCGCGGACCAGTGCAAAGATAATCTTTCGTCAGGTTCCAAACATGCAAACTTTTGGTCCAAGTGCAACCCGCCCGCCTTCCTCTGTCTCCATCTTGCAGCCAGCGTTGTGGCCCAGCTCTCTTGTCACAGTTCTTCCTCATCTCGAAAGTCCATGGAAACTCCTAGTGGATACATCCTGCCGGGGGCGTATCTGGAGACAAATCATGGACATGGATGGTGGATGGACCGAATTGACACAGAAAAAGGGTGTATAATGCTTTGGTTCGAGCTACATGAGGTGTGTCCAGTTGGGGCGTTTCTCGACCACAACCAAAACACTGCCCTCTTCGGTTGTGTTTGTGCAAGCCATGCAGCAACAGAAGCAATCAATCCGAAAGCATCCAAAAGCAGCAATCAATGCAGCTCTGCTGGATCTGGATGCCAAAGGCATGGTGCGATTGCCACACTTCGGTCTCGCCAAAGCTTTACTTGAGGCCAGGGGGAGGAGGTCGAAAGCTAGCCGAATCGCACCGGATGTACTAGTTGCATAGTCGGCAAAGCATGTAGTGATTACATGTGTTGGGAGAAAGGTT